AAAAAAAAGTGCTTACAACACTGAAATGGGTCTCCAGCATCCCAGGGGTAAAGTTCAAATGCCTTACCAGGGTTTTCCAAGAAAGCCTTTCATTATCTGCTCCACCCCAGCACCCCAGCTCCTCTCTCAATGCTCCCTAATTCCCAGCACAAGCTCCTCCAAAAACATGGATTCCCTTTGTCTCAAGCACTTCTCCCTTTCTGGTCACATGGCTAACCTCGCCACTCACCACTCAAGTCACAACAAACCTGCTTCTTCCAGGAGACTTTCCCCACCCCGCTAGGACTGAGTCTCACAGCCTGCCCGCAAACGCACAGGGCATCTCAGCTCCTCCTCGCTCTGCCCCGCACACGCTGTGTACTGTAAGAATATGGGCAAGTTCCATCTTATTTGGCTGTTTAATCCCACTTCCTAGCAAAATGCCTGGCACACAACAGGGACTCAGCAAATACTTGGTAAATCAACAAAAGACACCAAGTCTACTAATTTTACAACCTTCCACCTCCCCTCATAGGTATGCTTCCTCCATTTTCCTTACTTTCTCTTCTTTTCTGACCATGTTTCGCATGAACAGTTGTTTATTCACATGGTACTCCAACATTTATATCCTCAGCGCCCCTAGGTATCTCATTAAATAATAAAAATTCAATGGATCAATTTTGTGCTGTAACTGAAGAGATCTTTATCTCCGGGTCTGACCCAAGACTCCAGATATCTTCTGGGCTCCATCTATCATCTCCCAATTATACCTTTACATTAGAGCTGCTTAGAAATTCTCAAAACCTCTTAATGCACTTATATTCTCAGGGCTCACAAATTATGTTTACATTTTCCCATGGCCTGAAATGCCCTTTTTCTAAAATGTCTTTCTGGCCTTTTCTGGTAATGTACCCACAATGCCCTGTTCTTATTTTTTAACTCTTCTTATTTCTAATCGTACAATTTATCATGTTTGAAATTATGTTTAGATGTCTACTTTGCTAGACTGTGAGTTATTCATACAAAGAATTATCTCTTCACAGCATATACAGTATAATACCAATTACAGTCAGTCCTGAAAAAAGCTTGCTAAATAAACTATAGTATATTAACTTTCTAATACTTAGAAGCCACAGCCAGCCAGGCATGGTGGTGCATGCCTGTAATCCCAGCACTCAGGAAGCTGAGGCAGGAGGATCATTGTGAGTTTGAGACCAGCCTGGACTACAAAGTGAGCTCAAAACCAGCCTAAACTGCATACTAAGCCCTGTCACAAAACAAAAACAAAAACAAAACAAAAAAAAAGAGCCAGAGCTGAAGAGTGCCTAAATCCACTTTTCTAAAGCAGTAAGCTTCTCTGGTTTTGTTTAGCTCTTTTTCAAAAGCAAAGGAATTGGCTGGGCACGGTGGCACACACCTGTAATCCCAGCACTCGGGAGGCTGAGGCAGGGAGATCCTTGGGAGTTCAAGGCCATCCTCGGCTAAAAAGTGAGCTTAAGGCCAGCCTGAGCTGCATAGAGAGACCCTGTCTCAAAAGGACCATTAAAAAAAAAAGAGAAAAAAAAAAGGAATGGGCCAGAACAGCAGCCCAGTGTTGAGGACTTGGCAACTCCACTACTTCTAACCCAATCTTGAGATCATCTATCAAGTCTCAGTACAGGTGGACTCTAAAGCAAGAACAATGTAGTTTAGTTCCATTTTCAGGGATACCCTAGAGCAGATCAACAACCACAGAGCCAGATTAAAGACCAGGTGATTTTGAAAACAAGGAACAAAGTGACTTGCACCACTTACTGCCTTATTTAGAACAGTGTACAGCCCCTTCAGATATTCTTCCTAGAACACACAGCTCCAAGCTACTACACCATCAAAACTGCTCAAACGCAACCTTCAAACCTCCAGAAGTCTAATGGACTGAAACAATGCCCAAGTGAACAAAATTCACTGCCAATATTTAACTGTCTCCTCCTTTCCCTTTCAGGGAATACCTATCCTTTTCTCAACTTTACCTCCTCTAATTTGGACTTGGGTATCATTTTATTTTTACAAGATAGTACAATTTTTCTCTGCTGTTTCTCTGAAACCAAATACTTTGACACAGAAGAACTAGGCAAAACAAAGGGAAAAATTCTTCTAAACAGCTATTAGTGAGAAATATGATACCTCCTTCCTCTGGTAAGGATTATGTTTTATAGAATTAGTCTCAGAAGGAAGGATAAGTATTAAAGAGGAAAAAAAAGTACATACACTATACGCAAAGACTCTATTTAGTCAGCAAGACAAGCGGATATTTGGCCAAGCATTCAAAAACTAAAAGGACAAAGAAGCAGAAAAAAGACATGAAAGGAAGGAAAACAGGAAGAAAGAACATTCTGAGCGGGGCGTGGTGGCAAGCGCCTGTGACCTCAGCACCCAGGAGGTTGAGACAGCAGGACTGCTGTGAGTTCCAGGCCAGCCTGGGCTACACAGTAAATTCAAAGCCAGCCTGCATTACACAGCAAGACCCTGTCTCAAATAAACAAAACAAAACAAAACAAAACAAAGAAGAAATTCTGTTTAGATTAGGAGTTCCCAAAACCCAGGTTGGGACTCTCCATTATAGGCCTGGGTTCAGAATCACACAAACTCGTGATTTGTAACAGGTCCACTGTGAAACTCATAGAAATTAAACCGGGCATGGTGGTGCACACATGTAATCCCACCCTTCAGGGAGGCTGAGGCAGGATAATCACTTTGAATTTGAGACCAGCCTAGGTTACATAGTGAGTTCAAGGATAGTCTAAACTGCATAGTGAAGCCCTGTCTAGAAAGAAAAACAGAAAGAAAGAAAGTAAGAAAGAGTGCAGGAGAGAGAAGGAAGGAAGGAAGGAAGGAAGGAAGGAAGGAAGGAAAGAAGGAAGGAAAGAAGGACTCTGATTTGAACAGGTGGATAGGTTCCATGGGATTTTCTGATTATCACATCCACTAAAACTCAGTATTACTCTTCATTCATCTGAGTCATGAGATTTCATAACTCCTGAGTTTTCAGGATATGATGTTCAGCGGCCTCACTTCAGTGCCTACCTAGAGATAACTTTTAACAATATGTTTATGACTCATTAGGGTTTGCTTTTTCCCTTTAAAAATGATGGGGGTGCTGGGCGTAGTGGCACATGCCTATGGTCCCTGCACTCCAGAGGCTGAGGCAGGATTGCTGGAGCTTGAGGCCAGCCTGGGTTCCATAGTGAGTTCAAGGCCAGCCTGAACTGCAGAGCAAGACCCTGTCTCAAAAAAACGAAAAGATACGTGATGGTGAACACCTGTAATCCCAGCACTCTGAGAGACTGAGCCAGGAGGATTGAAAGTTGAAGCCCAGCCTGGACACTTAGCAAGACCCGTCTCAAATTAAAAAAAAAAAAAAAAAAAAAAGGCCTAGGGATATAGCTCAGTGCGAAGGCCCTGGGTTCAATGACCAACACACACACACACACACAAAGCCACACACAAACACAGAGAAAGGAAGTTGACAGTTGAAGGAAGATGAAAGTCATATTTTACTCTTGCGGGCTTAGTAACTTACAGCGTTTTCTCCCTCCTATCCTGAAAGTGAAGTTTAATGAAAAAAAGTCAAAAAATCAAGAACTTGGCATCCTGATTCCACCACCTACTGCTAGCTAGGTGATCTTGTGCTAATTACTTAAAAGCCTAGAGCTTCAGATTCCAACACTGTAAAACCGGTATATTACATGGGAATAGTGAATACCTATCCTTGCAGGCTTATCAAGAGGACAACGACTTCAGGAACCCACTAGACTAGAATGAAAGCTCCTGAGAAGTGAAACAATGTGTTCAACACTGCCGATTCTTGTTGGCATGGAAACGCACATACCAGGAGGCCAGTGATTTTTAATGAACGAACAATTTTGTGTCCCCATTCCCCAGCAACATGAACTCCTCTTCTATCAATGCATTTTTACTGTCTTCTATTCTTTTCTAAAGCCTGGACGACTTCTATTTTATCCTTTTAAGTGGTTTCCTCCCTCACATTGGTTATTATTAACTATTTACCATTCACAGAAAGTACCTTTGGAAGTAATTTCTCCCTCTAACACCACCCACCTTCCATCTCTAAAGCGATGCGGGTGGAGAAGGCAGTCAGAAAGGTAAGATGCATAGCAATTCGCGACTTGCCTGTGGTTCGCGTCGGCGACCGTGAAACCCTGAGCTCAGCCCTGCTCAGAATAAACTTTCGGGGAACACTGCACTGTGTACCTCTAAGCTAACGGCACAAAGCGCGCAGGAAACCCTCGACTCTCAGAAGTTAAGGCGTCGGTTACGCTCGCCTCCCGCTGAAAGAGGGGTGAAGCCCTCGAATAAGACACCTGACCGGGACACTCGGGAGGGATTTCGGACGCCCCGGTTTTACCCTAGGGTCACCTCTGGACCTCTCCAGGCTCGTCTAGCCACTATCCAAGGAAGCAGAGCGCTTCGATCCTCCGAGGGGAATAAAGGGGTGCGGTCGTCCGCGGGGCCTGAGGGGACAGTATAAGTTCAAGAATACGCGGGGAGACCGCCTTCACCGCTCGGACTGCAGCCTCTAAACCACGACGCTAAGCAGCCGTACCCACTCACATCCACGCCGGACCCCAGCACAGCCTTAACACCAGACCCCAGGAAGAAACCAGGCTCGCCCCTCAGCGATAAATCAGACAACCGGTGCCCGCTCACTGGCCGCGTCCGCATCTCCTTCACCGTCATTGGCTCTCAACGCACAAGACCCTCCCCGCCGGGGAACCTCGCGTACGGCGGCGCCCCCCGCCTAGCAACCGTACCCCGGGCGCCCAGAAGCCCGGGCCCCACCTCCCCCAGGGAACGCGGCTCCCGAGGCGCTCTGAGCTTTGTCCTCCGAGGACTCACCGTGTAGTAGGACAGCAGCCCTGCGTTGTAGTCCAGCACGAACCAACGGTACTGCCAGCCCTTCATCACGTTAGTCCATTTGCTCAGCGGCCCTTCCATGATGGACGCCATCTTGGGAGCCGCCAATGACAACAAACGGCCTGACGTCACTCGCCTATAAAGCGTTCAGCATGCGGGGGGCGGGGCCTCCGAGGTTGGGGCGGGGCCAGCGTCCGCCGCTGTGCGCGCAGGGGAGAGCCACGCCCCCTGCGAGCAAGGTTTCTCTGGACGCCCATTGTGTGCAAGGCTCCGTGCTTTAACAGCATGAATACGGCTGTTAAGATTATTTATTAACACAAGCAATTTTCCAGGCTTCACACCGAATATTAATTTATGCATTTGTTGTACAAATATATTCATTTAATAAACACTTTCTAGACTGAGAATACGCCAGAACCTTCCTGGAGGGTGGGGAAAGGCAGGAACAGACAATAAAATGATTGGCCAATGATATAGTCACTATTGATAGTGTATTAAAAACTGGCCAGCCGGGTGTGGTGGCACACGCCTGTAATCCCACCACTCGGGAGGCTGAGGCAGGAGGATCGTTGCACGCTGGAGACCAGCCTGGGCTACACAGTGCGCTCAAGTCCAGCCTGAACTGCATAGCGAGACCTTGTCTCAAAAAGACCAAAAAAAACTAAAAAATAAAAAAATGTAAAAATATACATACGAAGTTTTAAAATGGACTAGGTATGCAGTAGGCTATTCTGTCTAGATTTTGTCAATACACTGTAATGTTTGTACAACAAAATGGCCGATGGATGCATTCTTCAGAAAGTACCCCTGTTGTATTTTTGTTTTGTTTTGTTTTTCTCTGGTACCGGGAACCGAACTCACGACCTTGCGCTTGCCAGGCAAGCGCTTTTGCCGCTGAGCTAAATCCCCAGCCTCTAGTATCCCTATTGTAAAAGGATGCATATGCCTGTGTTTGAATCCCTGCATCCACCACTAGTGGCCTAAAGCAAGTTTTCTAACTTCTATGTGTCTCAGTTTCTCCTCAGAGTCCCATTTTATAATGTGAATAGCAATAGTAATTGCCTTCAAATGTTGTTGTGAGGGTTAAAGAGCTTAGAAGCTTGACTGGTAGACAGGAGGTACTGAATAACCAGGGCCACGCAACATGCATGCGACTGAGTATAACACAGCTGTTCTCTTCCCTTTCGGATACATGTTTTCTCGTTAAGCCCATAGTTTATGGAGTGTTTATCTTTGCCAGGAGGTTACACACTTTATCACTCATAACCATCAGTAGTCCTCTGAGTGAAGAGAACTCGGATTTGAAGAAAGTAGCTCATTTGCCCTGATACCTAGTAATGCTCTTTGGTGAGTAGCTGAGCTCCTACAAATACGTCTCCATTTCATCGTGACACATGGCCTCCCCAAAACGCATTTCTCACAGAAACTGATATTCCAGAAACTAATCAGCAGAAACCCTTGTGTTCCTAACAGTGTCTTTTGGAGTAACAAATGTGTGGGGATTTTTTTTTTTTGTACCGAGAGTTAAATTCAGGACCTTGCACTTGCCAGGCAGGCACTGTGTCCCCAAGCTAGATCCCCGGCCTGTATGTGGAACTTGAGACATCATGATTCAGATGAAAAGACTTGTGTAGTATTAATTACTACTCCACCATCCTTTAAGAGTAAGAACCAGGTCATACTCATCTTTGCAGCTCTAGGAACTAGCCTCACACACAGAAGCTACTTCACAATTTTTGTTTGATCGGAAATGTGTTCCACTGAACTGACCTACGAACTTCAAGGATTGTGCTAAGCACATCATCCGCATTTTCTCTTATAATCCCCACCACAATCATTCAAGGTTGATATTATTATACCCATTTGACAGATGACGTCACGGTGGTATGGCTACTGAGTGGTTTGTCCAAGATCACACAAGAGCAAAACCAAAATTAGATCCTAGGTCTTGGCCAGGAGTATAGCTCAGTGGCACAGCACCTGCCTGGCAAACACAAGATTCCTGTTACCAGAAAAAACAAAAGAATCTAGGTCTTGCCTTTCCCCCAGATTCATTTCCCCCAAGCTGCAAGTTAGAGTTTCATTGTCTATGGGTAAATAAAAGTTTTGGACATGATACAAACTGCACCATCAACTTCTAAATAAGTTTTAACCTTCAACAGGGTCACCAGGCATCGGAGAGCTCTCCTTAGCTTCAAATGTCAAAACGCAGGTGATGAGGAAGAGCCAGGAGAGAGGCCGTTCTTGATCACAAGCCCGTGTCAATTCCACAGCACTCTGTCTGCGCACTCTGTCTGCATGCTACCCAAAGTGTCAAACCTCTTCCTGTGGCTCATCAGCTAAAATTAAACACGGGGGAGACACAAGGGCTCGCAGTCCTACATTCCTCGGGGACTGGGCCTGCCTACCACAAAGAGGCAGCTGACACACAGTGGAAAAAACTTAGATTCACAGATAGCGTTAACCATTAAACATCATAAACTCATCAAGAACAGGAATTGGGATGAATTCATCCTGCTACTTAGCAAATCAATAAATGTTGAGCTAAAGATGTGAGGAGGGGGTGCTGGCAATACAATGCCACAGTATTCACAATCTGCAACTGAGACGCGCCCGCAGCCCAAGACATGATTTTTAGATGATCATCCTGCAGAAAAGCAAGGACGAAACGGGAGAGGGGCAAGATTGGAGACAAGAAGACAAAGGGACTTTTTAAAACACCAAGCAAGCAAGAGAAAGAACCTAAGTTTGAACAATGACAGCAAAGATTGAGGATGGAAATGATACTTTGCTGTATATTTATTCAGAAACATTCTAGAGATAAGATTGGAAAACTCAGTAAGTAATGGAATTAAATGAGGACAGCAGAAAATCAGAGATAATACCAAGGTTTCTCCATTGTGTAACTTAACTTTAAGTAGCCAAGTTGTTGTTGTTTGATTTTTTTTTTAGGAAGTACCCAAAATGCTTGTGTTTCTCAATATGAAGTTTCCTTCCTTCACTCACAGCTGTTTAGAAATTGCAAATTGTGAATTGTGTTTTTGTTTTGTTTTGGTTTTTGCGGTGGATTGAACCCAGGGAGCACTGAGCTACATCCCCAGCCCTTTTTGTTTTTAGACAGGGTCTCACTGCAATCCTCCTGCCTTGGCCTCCTGAGTATTTCTAGCAAAACCTATTCCCAATTCTTCCACAGTCAGAAGTGTAGGTGCAGACGACTTCATAATGAGTTCTGTTGTTGCTGGTTTGCTGCCTTCTCTTCCTAAACTTCCTACCAACTGCTTTTTGTTATTGCTGTCATTGTTATGTTTCTTAATTGGCATTTGTTGGCCATCAAATAAAGCAACATTTCCAGAATGCTGCCTTCATAAAGGAAAACATAGAAACCCACAACTCTCCTTTGCTGGATGTAGAGGAAACAGATCATGCTTACATTTAGAAGAAGCTAAATATGACAAACAGCAAGCCCTAGGCTGAGAAAATAGCACAGTGGTAGAGTGCTTGTCTGGCATGCGTGAGGCTCTGTGTTTGATCCCCAGTACTGTAAATTAAAAAAACAAAAACAGGAAGTCCTGTTTATTTCCCCACCCATTGCTTTAGCTAGAGAGGAAGAAAGTGAAGCATCATGTATATGACAAAGTGGCTGTGGTTTTGAGGCAACAGGGAGCTAAGAAAGAGGAAATATTATAGGAAATCTAGGCTGTAAGCATTCTAAGGCAAGAAAAGATGAATGAACCCATTTTGCCTTTTAATCTTCCCTTGGAGACTCAGATCTTAGCTACCCTGGGCTTTCAACATTTCATAAACATCCTCCTCCCTCAGGTGAAATTGCCCCTTCGTTTCTTTGTACCCCATCTGTCAGATATAGACGTGCTCTTTATATCTATTCTCCCTGCCGGGGCCTCAGGCATGCTAGGCGAGCCCTCAGCCATTGAACTACTGCCGCAACCCCTGGATGTGTATGTTTTACATGAGCAATTCTGTCTGCCCTGAGCAGGACGGATACCATGCCTATGTCAGAAGGACCAGAGTACGTGAGAGATCCTGAGACCTGGAAGAAAGCAGCAACATAAGGAATGGGAAGAAGAACAGAAATATTAAGAAGTTAGAGAAAGGTAAGAATCAGGTAAGCCAGGTGAGGTGGCGCACGCCTGTAATCCCAGCACTTGGGAGGCTGACACAAGAGGATCGTTTCGAGTTCGAGGCCAGTCTGGGCTACAAAGTGAGCTCAAGGCCAGCCTGAACTGCATAGTAAGACCCTGTCTCAAAAAGACAAAAAAAAAGACCAAAAAAGACCAGAAAAAGACAAAAAAAAGAAAGTCATTAACAGATAGCTGTAGCTAACATAGCAGGGGTAGGTCCTACTGGATAATGAACTTTAAAGTGATGAAATGGGAAAGAAAAAAAGTGAGTCTTGTGAGATGAATGGATCTCAAAGAAATGATGCTCAGCAAAGTGTAAAAATCCTTTAGTAGCACTGGTCTATCTAGCTGTGAGACTTTTTATTTTAATCCCAGCAATTTCTCAGTGACCTGCTTATAGGAATATAAGAGGTACACAATTGGAATTACTTAAGGTTACCAGGATTTATAGAGTAGATGTGGCAAAAAAAATCGGGGAAAGAGGAGACAAAAGCATTGGTTGAGCCAGGCCTGGTGGCACATGCCTGTAATCCTAGGACTCGAAAGGCTGAGGCAGGAGGATCGCCATGAGTTCGAGGCCAGCCTGGGCTATGTAGTAAATTCAAGGCCCCCCTAAACTACATAGTGAAACCCTGTCTAGAAAAGAAGAAAGGAAAAGAAAAGAAAAGAAAGGAAAGGAAAGGAAAAAAAAAGAAAGAAAAGAAAAGAAAAGAAGCCGGGCCTGGTGGCTCACGCCTGTAATCCCAGCACTCGGGAGGCTGAGGCAGGAGGATCATTGTGAGTTCGAGACCAACCTGAGCTACAAAGTAAACTCAAGGCCAGCCTGAACTGCACAGTGAGACCCTGTCTGAAAAAAAAAAAAAAAAAAAGAAATGAAAAGAAAAGTATTGGTTGATGTGATGGATCACAAGATCTAAACAGGTTGCAGAAAAGGAAGCCGGAGTAGGAGAAAGGAGCTAAGAGACTGGACTGAATTTCCTGTGAATTAAAGAGGATTTATGGGAAGCGAGGAGGTTGTAACCAGAGAAAGGAAAGTTTCAGATTCTGTGTAGGAGTGGGGATAGGAAGGAGAGCTGTGGCACTGGGCCCGTCACCTCAGTAAATGAGATTCTCAAATGACAAAAGTAGAATCCGGTGTGATTCACAAAAAGATGTCTGAGATATAGTAATGAATGAACAAATTATGACTTATTTCATAAAATTATGACATAAAATGTAAAATTGAGTACATATTAATAGGTATGAAAACTATGTATATAGCCAGGCACAGGCACATACCTGGAATTGCAGCACTGAGGGGAGGCTGAGGCAGGAGGATCATAAGTTCAAGTCCTGCCTGGGCAGCTTAGACAAATTCTTTTTTTTTAATTTTTTTTTAAAGGCTGGGGATCTAGTCTAGTGCAAAGGCTTTGAGTTTATCTCCAATACAGAAAGAAAAAAAAATGTCTCCTAAGTAGGTTTTCCCATTTAATCTAAAGTTTTTTTCTAACTCAGTTTATTGTATCTGTAAATGTTGTCATTCCCACCTGCATATAGCTTGTTTTTCTTATTTATGTTGCTAGACTCTGAGAGCAGGGCTTTTATATTATGCTTATTTATAATTTATGATTAAGTGAAATATATATATTTGAAAATGGCACTGGGCATGGTGGTGCACTCCTGTAATCCCAGCACTCAGCAGGCTGAGGCAGGAGGATCATTGTGAGTTTGAGACCAGCCTGGTCTACAAAGTGAGCTCAAGGCCAGCCTGAACAGCATAGCAAGATCCTATCTCAAAAACACACACACAAAAAAAGAAAATGGCTTGCAAACTGCAAAGTGTTTTGTTATTATTTACTTTCTTTCATCCGCATGCTTTGAGCACTCACTGTCTCACTGTGTGCCAGTCATTTGTGAGCTTTTTTTTTTTTTTTTTTTTTTTTTGTCTTTTTGAGACAGTCTCACTATGTAGTTCAGGCTGGTCTTGAACTCACTTTGTGGCCCAGGCTGGCCTCGAACCACGAGCCATTAAAGACACAGAAAGAAGCAACATTTGTTCTCTGGCTCAAGAGTTTCAATTATAGCTCAGTGTGGTAGTGCACACTTTTATTCCCAGCACTCCAAGCACTCAACTCAGGAAGCTGAGACAGGAGGGTCTCCACAAATTCGCAGCCAGTCTGGGCTACATAGTGAGTTCAAGGGAAGCCTGCACTACAGAGTGAGATCCTGTCTCAAGAAAAAGAATATCACCTGCACAAAACTGCCCCGAGGATGAAAAAAGATGATAAATGCAAAGGAGCCAGCGTTGTGCTTCTACATAACTGGTGTCCAGCACAAATGCATTGCATTTCTTCCCTTCTTTCTAAGGAAGGTAGGAAAAGTTCCCAAAGGAAGTAATATCTGAGCTGAGCTTACAAGCATGAACCCTTTGCTTTTCTAGAGAGGAAAAACTAACACTTGTAGAGGAGCTGCTAGGAATAGGCACTCTCTCTGGGGTTACCTGAGGGTGAAGAAAGAGACACAAACAGAGCAGTATATTCAAAGACACAACCGGGAAATGCATCTTCTTCCGGATGTGCCAGGGCAAGGGCAGGAAGCGGGAGATGAAGCCGAGACAGAGAACTGAGCAGAACTGGATACTCATTTGGAATGTTCTTCTTTCCTTTGCTGGCTAATTATTGGAGTTTAAATTTCCACCTTGCCCTGCAAAACTACAGGCACATGGTCTTCATACAAGGGTTTCAACCTTAAGTGGAAGCCTATCAATTACAGCTCTAACCCCTATCTAATTCCCAGGACTGCACAGGGATTCCCCAAACATGGACCTTTGTGCATAATTTATACACTCACTGTGAAGCTTTGTAATTAAATCTGCAGAGGATTTGGAGATACATGGCAATGCTGGTATAACTCCCTGCATGTGTAAATACATCGTATTGAAGTGTAAAATGGATGGTTTTGAGAACACCAGCCGCAAAATAAAGCTGGATCGCGCTATTGATGCTTCCTATCCGTAAACTCGGATTGGTGCTTTCCTATACATAAGCTAAAGATAGATCCTGTTATTGATGCAGTCAAGTAGGATGGATGAACTGAACAAATAAAAAATTTAAAAGCATGCGAAGTGATTGACCTGGACAATCCTCCCTGAGATGAATTCCTGTTACGTTCAGGGTCTGTACCATGTACTCTGACTTTCTAATACCTGTGATGCACATCCTGACCTGTTCCATAGGAGATCAGGTGAAATAAATCTGACATTTATCAAGCATGTACTGCATCCTGGTACTCTGTAGCTAGTTGCACGTTCATCTTATTGAGTGTTTATTCTACGCCAAGTGCTCTAGGCGTGCACTAGAGCACTGGGGAAACAAATCAGACTTGGTTTCTTCCATCATGCAGCTTTGGAGGGCCTCAAGTAATCCTTACGACAACAGTTCAAAACAGAAATTTGAAAGAGAGGGAAATGAGAGCTAGGAAATACCAGTAGTTAACCCCAAAGATGATTCACACGTTAGCATAATTGGCACAGTGCTAAGGGCCCACAGTACTTAATTTCGGCTCATGTTAACACCAGAAGAAGTGAGTATACTATATGATAATGAATACAGCCTGCATTATATTGGTCTTTACACCAAAGCAGTTATCTTTAAGGAGGAAGAGGGTCATGAGGGCAAAAAAATACCTGGAGCCTACAAAGTTATAGTACAGCCCTGGTTAACCCAAAATCACACTGATGGTGAGGGGTAGCACAAGGTCAGGCAGGCCCTGTCAGCCGAACAGCCCCTCTGATTAAATGCATCTAGAAGATGGAAACTATGCCCTTATTTCCCTCCCAGTACCTGATTCATAGGGATGTCCCAATAAATTATATTTCACTGAGTCCCCCAGACTGCCTGATACAATGACACCAGGGTTTGGACATATATGTCCCTTACTTAAAGTCCACAGTGATGGTATTAAGACGGGGAGCCTTTGAGAGGTTCAGGCAGCAACAGGGGTAGGATTGCTGCCCTTATAAATGAAGCACAGAAAGTGGCCTGGTCCTTTTGTTCTTATCTGCCACGTGAGGACAGAGCATCCTTCCATCTGCGCCTCCTTCTGCCACATGAAGTTGAAGCAAGAAGCCGCCATCTTGGAAACAGAGAGCAGCTCTCATCAGGCACCGAATCTGCTGGTGCCATGGCCTTAGAGTTACCAGCCACACAAGCTCTGTGAGTTCAAGGCCGGCCAGGGCTACATAGTGAATTCAAGGGGCTGGGAATTTAGCTCAGCAGCAAAGCGCCTGCCTGGCAAGCGCAAGGTCGTGAGTTCAGTTCCTGGTACCGGAAGAAAAACAAAAACAAAGCAAAACAAACAACATAGTGAATTCAAGGCCGGTTTTGCTACATAGCAAAAACGCTGTTTCAAAAAAAAAAAAAAATTACTCAGTGTAGTAGACATATTGTTATAGCAGCATAAAGACAAGTAAACAATTAAAGGTATATTCTTCTGGATTAAAGACAACTATAGATGCTGCCAGTATCACATGGATCTTTCCCATATGGAAACACACCTGAAAATGAAGTTCACACATTCTATTGATTCATAGGAGTTTTGGATTAAAAGACCAAAACAGACATCTTTGCTTACAAACATACTTGTCATTTGTTCTCTGACAAATCTTGATCCCAGCATAATCTCCTAAAAATAAGTGTAATTACATATATAATACAATTTGAAAATTCCCACAATCCACCTAACATTTACTATGCTAGGAAATGAAGATATAAAAACAAAGAAGGCACAGTGGGCACTGCCCTTGAGAGGCAAATGGTCAACTTTATCGTGCCAGAGAAAACAGCAGAGTCTGTGGGAATGTTACCAAAGTGGTCTGGGCGCGTCCAGCTTATCAGAGTCGAAATATAACTCAGTTTCTTACAAAACCTAAATGTTCACTCTGAGAGTGGTTCTTAAAGAGAGCATTATTAATACACATTATGGGGGCTGGGGAT